GGCAGAGATATATAATAGAGTTTGTACAAAAACGCTACCATGCTTAAGATTTGCTGTAATTCCAAGATGGAGGAGTGAGATTGGGGGAATACAAGTGGATATTTAAATGAGAAAGGCCATATTCTGACTACCTGTGGAAACACTGGGCAACAGAAACATAGAGGTTTAGGACACTAACTCTACTTTTGCATAAGGTGAAATAAATACTGTAAATGCTTATGGGAAATAGTCATCAAACCTGTGCATTTGCCCCACCACAGAAAAAAATCATTGAGTGGTATTTTGGGACATGCACTGGCAGTTTTTCAATGGGTACCTGCAGGACAGAGTTCTGTCTTCTCTCTATCCCTGCCAACCTGTTCACCTAGGAATCGTGGGCTTCATTCATATCTACATTCCTCACAGTCTACTGAAATCTCACACCAGCTTCTATCTCTTGTGCAGTCCCTTTCCCTGCCACTAGCTTTGCTTTCTTACTCCAGCTCTCTGCAGTAACTGAGGGCGCTAAGCCTTTGACCCTCCTCTTGGTGTCATCACAACCCACCATTCTCATAGCTCCACTGACACTGGATCCCACGTAGCTTCACCCCTTCTCTATCCTTTTCCTTAAATGCCATCATATCACTAGTACACTCTAGAATGTCAATCTTCTCCCAAACGTGCCACTCCTGCTACTCTGAGTTCCTCTCTGAGCTACTTCCTGCAAGGCAAACCAAATAAGGATGGGCCGGCCAATTAATTATCTGGATGCCTATTGTATGCCAAATTCTGAATCCAGCACAAAGGTGACAGAAACAAGTATGACAGATGCAGACATCCTCTAAACCACATAATCTACAACAAACTGTCTTAGTTAGGGTTCCTATTTCTGTGAAGAGACGCCATGACCACAGCAACTCTATAAAGGAAAACATTTAATTGGGGCTGGCTTACAGTTTTGGATGTGTAGTCCATTATCATCAAGGTGGGAAGCATGGCAGTGTGCAGGCAGACATAGTGCTGGAGAAGGAGCTGAGAGTTCTATATCTTGATCTGTAGGAACAGAAGGAATCTGTCAGTAGGCCTAGCTAAGCATATATGACCTTAAAGCCCACTTCCAGTGACACACTTTCTCCAATAAGGCCATTCTTTATGGGCCAACCATTCAAACACACGAGTCTTTGGGGGCCGTACCTATTCAAACCACCACACAAACAGTATCAAAATTAGTTCAATTGTCCATGAACCTTCCAGACCAGACTGTAAGTGCTTTACTTCCCTGTCTCCTCAGAAGTTCACATACTGCCCAACACAGATCCTTAATGAATATCCAGATGGTAAAATCAGTAACTCAAGTCAATGCATTCGTGTCAACAGTACTTAAACCTTAATAGTACAAGGCCATCCTAACTCTACAAATGAAAGGTAGAAAAGGTATTTGATGAGGCCTTTTGAAGTATCAGGAGGCAAAGAGGAAGGCCCTAGAGTCAGTCTCACCACTACCAACTAAAAGCAACCCTGGGTGTGGCTGGCTACTGTCTTTGCTATTCTGGATCCTAATGACACCTCCTCCTTTCTCCCTCCCAGCTGTAAGGGGAATAAACCTGCCACCCCTCATATCCCCACTGATCAGAGCATATGGTTTCCTCTTGTCACCAATCTCTTTCATTTCCTATCTCGACCCTACACCAAACTTCTCCAGCTGCTGTGCTGCTGTGAGCTCATAGCACCAAGTCTTGAATCAGCCCATTACCAGTCAGGAGTTTTATCAAGACCTCAGGCTGAGGACCAGGTCAACAAGGGAGGAATCAGGAAACAAAAGGGCTCCAGGAAGTTGAACTATAAGAAACCCAGGGGCTGATTCCAGTCCCAAGATGCCAGACAGTCCCTCCCACAGTCCCAAGTCTAGGCCTTGTTCTAACAGTGTGGATGGGTACCATGATCAGACAAGACACGTGGGCCGCTTGCAGACAATCTCTAGACCTGTACCCTCAAAGCAAAACTACCAGAAACTTCAGTGTGGGGCACTGAAGAACTCATTAGTCTCCCTTCTTCCGCCCCAAGCTTGGGTTGGGGTCAGTCTAGCTCCTCTGCACAAACCTGAGAATCTGCCACAACTTTTCAAACCATGGCCACAATCCAGCTCTGCCCAGGACCTCTAGACTCTAGGCCCCAAAACAGAGTGGGGTACCTTCCAGACTCCACTGTAAGGGAAGGGGAAAGAAAGGAGTTTCCAAGTACAGAATTATTCTGACCATCTACTTTCTTCTCATGAGGTCACTGTAAATATCTAATACATAATCTTCAAGAACCTTTGAGGTCTGAACCAGTCTTAGCAAGAATTCCCAGTGGAGACTCATGTGCTCTCGTGGCAGCCTACGGCAAGGTTGGCAAATTTTTATCTCTAATGTCTTAAAGGGTGAGATGGTGAACTTGTCAAGTGTGCGGTCATATGTCTGTTGCACCTACTTGACCATGTTATTATGGTGGTACATAAGCAACAGGCATTCCTAAGACCCCATAAAGTACAGAAACAAGCACCTGGTCTATAGGCCATCGTTCTGCTCACTAGGATCTGCTCTTTTGGCATTTCATGTTTCAGAGAGGAACAGAGGCCATCACGTATCTCTGTACTTCTACTATGAGATTCAGGTCTCCATTTCTGCTACTTGCTCTATAAGGCACCAAAAAAGGCCAGACTGTTTATTCTAAAAACAAAACAAAACAAAAACAAACCTAACCTCAATTAGAAACTTAAGCAAAAGTGGAAATGGCTATAGACATAATTTCTGGGGGCTTCAGAGAAGGAAAAACTAGATTCCTTATACTAGATGCTAAGACCGGGAAAGGAAAGTAGCACATCCAAGATGGCTTAGCTGGCAAAGGCCCCCCACCCTATGCTCCTACTCAGTAAGGGATGGACAGAAAGCATGTTCAAAGGCACCTCCCGAGCTTCAAAGTCAGTATGCTTTTCAACCTTCCTCATGCTGTGACCATGTAATACAGTACCTCACGCTCTAGTGACCTCCAACCATAAAGTTTTTGCTGCTATTTCAAAACTGTAATTCTCCTACTGTTTACGAATCACGATGCAAATACCCAAGTTTTCTGGTGGTCTTAGGCAGCCCCGTGAAAGTGTTGGCTCAAATGGGTCACACAACCCACAGGCTCTAAGTGAACAGCAAAGGCCAAGCAGGCTTATGAGGACGGAGGTGCATCTGCCTGCGTCGACTCTGCATGCACTCAAACATGGCTACTGAAAAGGAGAAAGTGTAAGCAAAAGCCTGCATTTTAAGAACAGGTGTGGTCTGAGAGAAGATGCATGTGGTTGACAGAAACTAGCCCGGAAGTCTGAAGGGTTCTTAGGATAATAAACAAGAACGAGGCAGACACCTGTACTTTCAAGCTCTTCTAGAATTCTTCCCAGAACGACTTCCATCTGACACTCTCTATATCTGACCATAAATGTTTCTATACTGATATCCCAAAGATGACTAAAAATAAATCAAATGTGTTTCCCCTGAACAAGTTTGAATACTAATTTTCCTATTTCCACCAACCATTAAGGCTCAAAATCTTAGCACCTTCCTTCCCTATGTCCTGTCTGACCTGTCTCTCCCTTCCATTCCCACAGGCTGCACATGAACTCCCATCTCCAGTCTGATACCTTTACCTGTCTTCTGCCTATACCAACCACCTCTCCCCACACCTTGTCAGGCTTATAATGATGTAGCTGTAGGATCTCAGCCTAGGTACTCATCCTCTTCCCATGCACACATTCTACAAGGTTCACTGCTTCCTCTCTGGCTTCCAAGCTTCCAGAACCTCACCTAATTTAAGGGGCACACAATAACCGCTGAATGGATGAACCCTGGCTTGCATAAAGAGACATGTCACTGCTTTCCACAACCCCGAGCCCAGAGCAGCACACACTCTGGAGACCCTCTGCCATCGCACTCTCCCCCTTCTGCCTATCTACCATTCTGAAAACAGCCTCTGGCTTGAAGGGATGATCAATTCCTGACCTTCTCCATGTTCTTGTCACTGCTGCATCACATCTCTGCCCACGCTTGGCTAGCCCTGCCCAGTGATGACGTCCATGCCCTGCCCCCTCCATGTATTCCAACTCCTACGCAACTGCCAACTGTGGAGCTTTAGGGGGAGCTAGGGGATGCAGGAAAGGGGGAGATGATATAAAACGGAACAATGAAGGGCATTAAGAGGTTATGCTTCGAGTCTTTGATCCCCAGGGGCATCACCCTCCCAGTGGGCAGGGTTGGCAGGCAAGAGGAGGAGGAGGAGGAAGAGGAGGAGGAGGAGGAAGAGGAGGAGGAGGAGGAGGAGGAGGAGGAGGTGGAGGAGGTGGAGGAGGAGGAGGAGGAGGAACCAGATTTTTCCACTAAACGAAAAGCATGATTTCACCACTGCTTCTGTTGCCCTGGTAACCATGGACAGCCCAGTGGAGAGTACAGTAAAAGAACACCATGTTTATCTTTGCTGTCTGATCCACTTCCCTGTACACCCTTCCCTGACCACCTCTTGTCCCCTAGGCTTGCTCTAAATGTCTTATAATGCCAGCATCATCATTCCAGTCTGTTGTTCACAACCTCAAGGGTAGAGCTAATCCTTACTGTCCAGCAAATGTATCATGTGTTCTGCATCCTGGGGGGGGGGGTGTTATCTCACCACACCCACCTGCCACTCCAGGTAGCCCCAAGAAACGACAGTTGGACTCAAAGATCAAGAATGGCATCCACGCCACCAAACAATCCACTGGGCAAGGAGAAATAAAAGGTCAAAATGGAGAAAACTGCCCAGCCAGCACCTTTCTTGGACGTAGTGGGTACCTGTTCAGTTAAACCTCTCCTGTTCCAAGATCATCAAAAGGATCCTGGCTGGGGATGAGCTGGGAGAACAGATTCATCCAAAACCGACAGATCCTTTCTCATACACCCTATCAGTGTGACCTCAGAACGGAGAGAAAGCTGTCACCGTGGGAGATTATATAACTGTTATATAACATGACGGCACCAATAGCACCAGCGCAGGGATCCAACGTCAGAGACAGCCCAGGAGTGGAAACCAGCCCAAGGGGCTGGCATACAATCTTCTTGCCACCAGTGCCAAAGAAAGTCAGGCCCTTGCTGCCTCGGCCCTGCCTATACCTGCTCCTACCACCCCAGAGGACAGACACTTGCCTGGCTGCTGCATTCTTCTTCCCCTGCTGGGTGGCAGGTGGGGGCCACACCACCACCACTACCCTGGCTAAAGGCAGAATGTACAGCCTGGCAGGAGGGCATCCAGGAGCCTCAGCAAGGGAGGGGGAAGGTCCAGAGACCCCTCTATCCTGGTATAGCAAGCACTGCAGCAGCAACAGGTTTGGCTGGGCCAGCTGTCCTCTGCTCTGTCATTTGGTGTTTCTCTAAAATAAAAAATGATAAAAAAAAATTATGCCAACAGTGAAATAAAAAAAAGAATAATAAAAGCATATTTGGCAAGTGCCAAATCCCATCTCTGACTACAAACAAGGCTAGGAAGGAGTCCTTAGTATATTCACCCAGTTTCCCCACAGGGAAGATGACCCCACTACCTAGGAACTTGAGGTGCAGCACGTAGAGCTGTCCACAACTCTGATTCTATCTGCCCCATCTCTGCAGCTGCCTAGGTTTCCAGAGCAGCTACCCTGAGGGCTTGCTCCTCCCCCCACCCCCCACCCCTCCGCGGCGCAGGCGTCTGCGGCGGGTGGATAAGCACACGGGCCAGGGGGGCGCAGCTGGCCAGTTCAGAGCTCCGTCCAAATCTCCCATCATCACCACCACACCCACGTTATTAATGGGGTGGGGGAACCGCACAGAACCTGCCGAGTGGCATCTCCTTTGGCTGCACCTGCGAGTCCCAAGCTATGCTCCGGCCTTCCCTTACAGCACTGCCCCCCCCCGTGCCTCCGAAGAGCTAGAAGGAGCAAGCTCCCACATCTTGAGCAGGCTGCGCCGTCCCTCGCCCCCTCAACCACCTGTCTCTGCTTCCCTCCCCCGAAGCCTTCCCAAGTCGCCGCACCCCTGCGTACACCATGCTCGCCGCCTACCGGGAGTTGCAGGGCGCCGTTCAGGTTAGTGCGCTCGGGGCTGCGGCCGCTCAGGCCTGCACCGCCCAGGCCGCCGTCCGTGCTCGCCTGCCTGAGAGCCGGCAGCAGAGGGGTAAGCGCGGCCGGCCGGGCATGCAGGGGTCACGCGCGGCCTGCCTGGTTCATCCCGCCCCGCAGCTCCTACCTGGGCGGCCGGCGGCTTCCGGCGCAGCACAGTAATCGCGGCCCCGCGGGCGCAGCAACCCTGCGGGAGGCGCAACGCTGCGGACTTGGCTTCGAGAGCTCCGCCCGCTCTTCCCACGCTCCGCGCCCGCGCCCGCGCCCGCGCCTCGCCACCCTGCGGCCAAGCCCGGCGCTGCGCCTACTGGGAACGCGGTCGCCTCCGCCCATCCGTGCGAACTGCGGCAGAGGATCTGGCCAGCCAGCCAACCGCATTCTCGCCGCCAACAGGCCCGCCCTAACCTGAGGGCGGCTCCAGAGCCGCTGTCCTTTTCTTCACTGGTTCTGGCTCCTCTGACCTTTCCTTCCAAAGTTTCTCTCTCACGGACACCTCTTGGAAGGTGAAGGATAGGAGATGTGGGTCGGGCTCAGGCAACTGAGGACCTGTGTAGTGTGAGTCACAGGTGTGCCTAGGTCACTCCTGGAGTTCGGTAGAAAAACAACAGATTATGCACCCGTCTACCTCTCAATTCTTAGGGGATGTTTTCTTGACAGTCTTCCGACATAGACCCGTAGAAAATTGGAGAACCATGGACCCTCTCTCCAGAAAAATGCGCATCCACACAGAAGCAGAGTTTTGCATGGTATTTCAGGGCATTTTGAAACGTCTCAAGTGTCATGACCGTCAGCTTCAGACCTCTACAGGTGCCTGCGGGAGGTAAGCCCCTTCGCAGTCCCTGAAACTGACACTTTGCTCTCCTTCTGGGACATCTTCGCCAGTCTCTGAGCCCGTGTTTCTTATTTCTGCCTATAAAAATACCTTTCTGTAATCCCAGCGATGGGAATTGGAGGCAGAGCAGAGACAGGCAAATTGTAAAGGCGCCTGGTTTCTAGTCAGTCTACCCGAAACTTGAGCTCAAGATTTAGTGAAAGATTCTATCTGGAAAAATAAGGTGGAAAAGAGTAGAGGAAGGCACCAGATATCTACTTGTGACCACACACACCCTCCTCTTCTTGTCTTCCTTTCCTGAAAGGTCAGCACTGAAGCCTCTCCCTCCTTGATGACTTTCCAGCATCACGTTCTGCTTTTTAAACATTGTTAGATATACATGCACCTGTTGCTATTTTCTGTAGTTGACTGTAAACTCTTTTAAGATCAGTGTTTTCCTTCTGTAACTAAGGTAATTTACATGGTTAATGTATTTGACAACAATTTATAAATGTTCAGAGTGAAGGAATTGAGGGGGTTAAGAAGCCCATCGAGATACCCAGAGGAAACTGCACCCTCCTCATTGGTTGCTCCAACAGCAATATATATTCTCCCAGGTATAACTCCATGGCTGGAAAACAGACTCATTAAGGTGACAAGATCTTCTCATTCCTCTTTCTTCTGGGTAAAGCAGCCTCGATTCAGTGGTTGCTAGATGAAGTTAGGGTACAAGAATGTGTCTGCCAAGCAGCAGTTATTCTATCACTAGTGTCTGTGAGTCCAATAAGGGGCACCACCCCCTCCCCATTGCACCCGATAGAAGAAATCAGAGTTTCACCAGTGATTTTTCACTCCCTCCAAGCCAATTACCATGTTCTGTGACTTTTCCAGTGAGATATGAGCGACCCAATCCACGAGAGCCAAAGAAACGATTCCGACCAAGTTTAGCTTAGTGAACCGGTGGATTTATTGGTGGTGACTTTTAGAAGCATGGATGACTGAAAGTAACTCCATCAGTGAAAAGCCCATGCCCACTGTGAGTGACAACTTATAAAATCTGCTCTTGTGAAACTTCCTGACCTACTATAGACAGCTCAGAGTATCTTCTCTCCCCAGCTATTCATGCTGCTTATATAAATAACCTTAAGGTGGGACCTTGTGACTTGTAAATTTCGGTAGCTTCTTGGGAATCCTCAGTCTTGAACCTTGTACATTTAATTTGCCTCCCAACTCTTAAGAAGACTCCCTCTGGGAGAGTATGTTGTAGTAAGGAAATAAATCTATAACACACCATATCCATACTTTACTTCCTAAACCAAATCTCAGAGGACCTTTTCCTTTGTATTCCAAGCTCAGAGCCATTATTTCTTTTGTGAATTTCAGAAACTACCTCCATGTCAGCTACACTCCCTGCTTCCAGCCTCACCAGGCACAGACCCAGGCCCACATCTGCTATATGTGTGTTCTCTTAAAAATTATTTTCAAATCCAGAGATCCAATGTGATAGTATTATCGGTAGAACCTTTGGGATACAGTTAGAGCATAAAAGTAAAACTCTTGTGGGTGGAATTTGTGTCTTTAATGAAGGGGCATTTGCAGGGTGCAAGCTGCACACAAATGCAGTCTTAGTAGTTTAGAGTCTGTAGCAGGAACATCATCCTATATGTTTTCTATATTTAGAGAAATATAAAAGAATACATTCTTATAACTCTCTGCCACTTGAAGAAAAACCAAGAAGACAAGATTTAAAAAAAAACACTACAAAAACAGAAGCAAACATTTACCAGAAATAAACTTTCCAGCACCTTGATCTTGGGCTCCTCAGTCTTCAGAACTATGAAAAATAAGCACCTGATGTGCATAATCTGTCCAGTCAATGGTTTTCTATTATAGCAGCTCAGAAGAAAGACAGCATTCCAGGGTTAGAGTCTCCAGAAGTATCAATCTCTTCTCTGCTTAAAACCATGGAAGAGCCAGACCTCTTCACCTAGCTCACTAGGCCTCAAAGATCCATCCTTAACTGTGTCTCCAGTCTCCCCACTTGGTACTGTCATTTAATTGCATGCTTCACTCATACTAAACAGCAGCCTCCTTCCCTCTCAACAGTGAAGACTCTCCCTGCTGCACCCTATTTATTCAACATCGGCTATCCCCTTTGCCTTCTCTTGCAACTCTGTTCTGAGTCCATTCTTTTTATGACATTAGCCCCTCAACATTGCTGTTTACTTCTGTGACACCTGCTTTCCCTGCCATGGTGAGTCCTCTGCATCAGTGACCTTCATGCCTAGCACAATACCTGGTGTTATGTGGAAGCACGAACATTCCCACTAAATAAATGAAAGGTAGAATATAACACACACAGATAAGAGACCCTGGGGCAAATATAGCAGTACTCTGAAATGCTGTAAGACCAGGCTTATTTTGTTCTGTTTGATTTTAGTTTAATGTCTCACTATATAGCCCAAGCAGGCCTCAAACTCATAATCCTCCTGCCTCAGTCTTCTGAGTGCTAGGAATACAAGTGTGTGGCACCACACCTGGCTAGAAGACAGAAGGCAGATTTTAAATACTAGCACCACTGTGGTATTATTTTGTTTATGACATAACAAATAAAGCTTGCCTGAAGATCAGAGTGCAAAGCTCACCACACTAGTTAGCCATAGAGGCCAGGCAGTGGTGGTACAGACCTTTAATCTCAGCACTTGGGAGACAGGGGCAGACAGATCTCTGTTAATTCAAGGCCACCCTGAGCTACACAGAATTGTTCCAGTCTAAAAGGGAAACAGAGCTCACAAGAAAGTGATCTCAGCACTTAGGATCCAAGCCTTTAATTCCAGCACTAGAGAGGAATATATGGTGGGAGGAGACAGGAGCTGAGGACAGTGTGCGGTTTGGTGGAGACAGATGCAGTCTGAGGAACAGTACAGTCTGGATATCCATTCTGAGGACAGAATCGCCCTCTGGTCTGAGCATTGGTAGAGATAGTAGCTGGCCACTTTGTTTCTCTGATCTTCAGCATTATCCTCAATATCTGACTCTGAGTTTTTGTTATTATTAAGACCAAAGAGAATTAGTGCTACAGGCCATTTTCAAATTATTTTCAATCTTTCCGAGTCTTCGGTTTCCTTAACTGAAAAATGAGGATGATAACACCCAGGGTTGCTATTAGATGTATGCGGTGGTGCTTTTCAATTTTAAAACCTTCTCTGTCTATATATTAGTCAGTTATGTTATATCACTTCACTTGATCTTCGCAGTAACATTTTCATTTGGCAGCTGGCATTTTTCATTTTGCATATGAGGGAACTGAAGTGGATCAGTGAAACACTATTTGCCATAGGTTACCTAGCTAGTCACCAGAAGTTTGAGGTTGTCTAGGTACTCTCTCCCACCACCAACCCCCAACCTGCTCCTCCCTTACAGCTCCAGAGGATGAAGCAATGTTAGGACACACATGTCATAGTCATGTAGCTAATGGATGGAGACACAAAATTTTTGAAGGGTTTTTGATGTATAAGGTAGTTTGGTTGGAAAAACTAAATCATGATAGAAAGAAATGGGCTAAAGAGTTATTGACCTTGAGGCTAACCCTGTACTTGAAGTTTTGGCCCCTTTTATATCCTAATAGGACAATCTCAATTGACAGATCATCTTTATATGCCACTGGACACCTTCAGCCTCCAAGATTACCAGTAGCTGGATCTGTTTACTCCATATTTACAATTCTGCCTATCATCAAACAACTATCAAACTCTTACTAAATTTTTTGTTATGGCTTCCAGATGTCTGGCCAAATAAACCTCTCTGAGCCTCCATTTCTCCATTCTGTAAAACTGGATTGATAATATCCCAGCAGGAATTAAGCAAGATGATAAAATAGCTGTTGGTGGGCTGTTGCTAGTGGAAACACCTGCTCCAACACCCCACCCTGTGTTTGATGGTTTTTATGCTCATAGGATGTCTGTTTCACAATGAGGCAAAAGCACAGGAGTATTCTGGGAAGTATGGGCAGACAGAGTTGCTATGCTGCCAGAGGAGAAACACCATGCCAGGCATTACCCGGTAAGTCACAGCCTTGTAGCAATACATAGATTCATAGATTGATAGAAATGGGTTGATAATTAAGACAGAGCTAGCCAATAAGAAGCCCTAGTCATTGGCCAACACTTTCATAATTAATATAAGTCTCTGAGTGTTCATTTGGGGCAAGGCGGCTGCAGGACAAAGTTGGCGGGGAAAGTGTGCTCTTAACAGGAGTATTAAGAACAAGAGCAAAGTAGTTTTTGGGGTTTTGTTGTTGTTGTTGTTTTCTGACCACAGTTAGGGTCAAGGTTCATCTGAGGCTTCTTTCTTGGAATTCCCAGAAACAACTGGAAGGCACTTTGGAAACATCATTGAAATCATCAAACAAAATACTGTAAATTTGAAGGACAGAAATGGCATCAAGCAAGCCGGGCGGTGGTGGCGCATGCCTTTAATCCCAGCACTCAGGAGGCAGAGTTCGAGGCTGGGCTGGACCAACAGCTTCCAAAATAATACAGAGAAACCCTGTCTCGTAAAAACCAAAAAAAAAAAAAAAAAAAAAAAAAAAGGCATCAGGCACCTAGTAAAAACTCAGTACACATAAGCTCCTTAAATTGAGTGCGCTTGAGTATCAGGCAAAGAAACCCTCTGTTTATGAGTCTTCTAATGCCATCTTTGCACTGAATTAGTGTGTGTGTGTGTGTGTGTGTGTGTGTGTGTGTGTGTGTGTGTGTGTGTGTGTGTGTGTGTGTGTTCAGGAAGCAGCCATTGGGACTATCCTTCATGGGTCTTCTTGTGATTATAGTAGTTTCTTTTTTTCTTTAAAGATTAAATCATTTTTTTCTCCTTTCTGTTCAACAAAGACAACAGCCCTTTGGTTTTTGATAAATGTTTCTTTCCTTGTAGCAGGTGGGTTTGCCCCAGGCACTAAGAACTGTGCTTTTAAAACACACAGAAGCCCAGCTGTTTGTATCTGCTGCATCTTTTTTCTCCTATTTTTTGCCCTGAAGGCTGGGTTTTCTCTGCTTTGGCAGGCTGATAACATGTGGAAGGGAGTGAACAGGTCTAACTAATAGACTAATTAGTGATACAAGCCTTTAATAACTGAGTATAGGAAAGCCATTCCCTACCCCCAAGTGATTAATTTATTTATTGCTGTTGTGCTGCATTAGGGTAAACTAGTCAACTTCTAGCTATTGGCAAATTCAATCAATCCCCTTTCTTCATTTCCTTCCTTTTCATTTGCCACAGAGTGCTCAGGCAGTATGGAAGAATCAATTCAGCTGACAGGCAGCTCAGGCAGATGTGCTAGGACCCTGATGTCACCATTTCTCACACCATTAGGAACTGTAGGAACTGTGAAAATCCAGCTACTCTCATGTGCTTGCTTTTTAAAGGCCCTTTCCTTGTGGCCCCTTCCACCGATGGTTACAGCCTACCATCTCTGTCTTTCAGAACCAGCCTACTATGGGGCTTAAAACATATATTGACATTCAATGGCCTGGATTTCAATCTAGGCTTTCTCACTGGTAGCATAGAGGATCTAAGACAAGTCCTTTCACTTCCCTGTGCCTCAGTTTTCCCACTTGTAAAACGTTGCTGTGAAACTCTTATCTTTTGGTTATGATGTGGCCATTGTTGTCTTGAAGTCAGAACAGCTGTAATCATCATTCACAGTTGACCCTCACAAGATCGGGCCCAGTATATGCCTAGTACACACAAAGATAATTTGATGAATGCTAGTAGAATAAATGAGTAGCATAATTGGTGAGTAGATTATGAAGCTTTGAAGTTCAAAGGGGGTGAAAATAAGAAGAAATGAATAATAAATCAAAATAATAAAAGCCTTTAGTGCTTATCAATCAAGGTCTATGTTCTGAGCTAATTGCTTCTTGTACATTCTTTCATCTAATCCCTTTGTGACCTGATTTTTATCAGCCTTCTTAAATCATGATTTGCTTGTTTGTTTGTTTTAAAAACCTGAGCCACCATATAAAATTATGTGAGAATTTTATGTTCTCCCAAAATCTCCAAGGACTCCTGGGGAAAGGACAGACATATTCATGTTTCTTTATGAATCCAAGTTCTTCCAACAGTTTCTGGAAGATGCTGCTATTGTCTTTTCTTCTTCTTTCAAGGCTTCAGAATACAAGACCGTTTTGTACAAAGATTTTTACTGAAAGCAGGGCACAACATGGGATACTTACAGTTTCACCAGTGCAGCCATATCTAAAGTCCTCTATTGGTGCTCCAAGATACTCCTTCCCGGCTGTTCTGCACCTAAGCCCCACTGGCATCATGTTTCCATCTCTCTAAGATTCTCAGACATAGCTCTATTTCCTCCTATATCTTTCTGCAAACTGTAGATGATTATGCAAAGAAATTTAGCTTTTGAACAAAGTCTCCACTCTAGGCTAGTCTGCCCTTCCTCTTAAAGATGTTTGTGTGTGACTATATGAATTTATGTGGATCATGTCTTGTGCTGATGCCTGCAGAGGCCAGAGAGCAGAAGATCCCTTAGAACTGAAGCTACCAGTGGTTGTAAGCCATCCAGTATGGGTATGAGGAGCATAACTCACATTCTCTACAAGAACAATAGACTTTCTTGGCCACTGAGCCATCTCTCATTAACCAAAAGTAACTACAGAGGTCTCTTTGACCAATGAGCAAGGTACTTCTAAAATTAATTTGGTCCCACCCTAATGAAGACATAGGGCGGCAATTGGTGGCATAACATCTTTTTATATATTATTTCCTCTTTTTCATAAATGAGGAAACAGAGTTAATGGGGTTGGAAATGAATACACTCAAGGGCACATAGCTAATATCAGAGCTAAATCCAACTGTAGGCTGTCTGACTCAGAGCTTCATGGATTGACCACAAAGCAGCTCGGACAGATGCAAGCGGCTCCATTCATGAACCAAGGGTAACTCAAGAAGCCCTTCTGTGGGAGAGTCTTGGGGCTCAGAGGAAAGTGAATTGATTGAGCAAAGTCAATGACATTCAGATGAGTTAGAGCGTAGGATAACTGCTGGCCTGTAGTTTTGCGTCTGAGACCCTTAAGTTGCCAGAGTCAATCACTGAATGGCTGCTCCGATAGTTTCATCTGCTGGTGCTGCCACCTCTGAATAGCATTGTGCTGTGTTCATCTTTGATGAGCTGTGCTCAGGGAGGTCAGAGAAGGCTATCTTTTGCTTATTGAATGCTAAATTCCTAGGTAAAACAATTTCATCACATTAATAATTTTTTCTTGCCAGTGATATCCAAAATGGCTAGCAAGATGATAGAGACTCCTACAAAAGTTCTATAAAAAGCTATGAAAAGGGTGATTCATTTCTGTCCGAGTTTTGTCTCTGTTGATGTGATAAAACACTGACCAAAAACAACTAGGAGATGAAAGAGTTTACCTGGTTTACATCAAGGGGAAGCCAGGGTAAGAGCTCCAGACAGGAGCCTGAAGGCAAGAGCTGAAGCACAGATTGCGGGGGGAATGTTTCTTACTGCCTTGTTCTCAGGCTCATCTTCAGCTCTGTTTCTTATACCTCCAGGACTGTCCTCCTATATTGATCAGCAATTAAGAAAATGCCACACAGACAATCCTGCAGGACAATCTGGTGGAGGCAATTCCTCAGATGGGGTTCTATGCTTTGGTAGCTGTCATGGTTATCTTAAAGTATTACATTGATTGCTATGGGCCTCAGTACTAGTTAAGGTTTAAATCTCCACCAAGGGTCTTAGAATATATTGAAGGGGAAATTCATATGTATTTTCCATAGCTATGAATATTGAAAATATTTGTGTATGCTTGCTCAACTAAAATATTTTTACTGTCTTTCTCCTCTGCTGGAGCTAGAAACTCTATGAGTGTCTGCTTCAACCCGTCTCTAGAGGAGCCACTATATAGAGTGTACTCAATAAGACTTGTTGGATCATTGGGCCATGAGCAGGTTTATAAGGAAATGAATAGCATCCTAAATGCACAAAATTGTTTGCCTGTCTCCGAACTTATGCCATAAGGAAACATGGGATTGGCTTATCTAGAAGAGGTAGAAAGGGGACAGTGTGCTTATCTAGACTTGAAGGACAGTCATTTATCTGCTTAGAAGAAATTCTGGCAAAAGAACCCATGTAGCCTCCCGACATATTTGTTCCTAGGCTCAGGACCTGCTAGGCTTTTGAGTCCTGAAACAGTACATAGTGGTAAAGTGATGCAAAAATGTAGTCACGAACTCTGTCTGAAACACGCCACTTGGCATTGAGACACCCAACTAAAGTAACCTGGAGGCCTCTGCAAAAGAGCAGGATGCTTAGATGAAAGGAAGCCTCACCTTCCTAAAGCCTCGGTGTGGATTAGCTGTACACAGGGAATTGAACTGAATACGTATTTAAAATCCTTTCTGTCATTACCTTTCTGTGGTTGCGTGTGTGCTATGAATGAGATAAATTGGACTACAGTTAAGGGTAGGTCAACAATCGGAGAGAAACCCAACAAACTACCATTGCTGAGGCTGAACAGTAGGAACCCAGCATGGCCAGCAGGGGGTGCCATTGCTACATCATGATTTTCAGGCCTAGTGGAAAAGAAATGCTTTAGGAAGCAAATGAGGCCTTTAGAGTAAGCCATCTAGCCATCATAGGCTGGATCTCCATCTACCCCCAGCACATACAAATATTTCCCCTGAAAGCCTACATCCTCAGAAATGCAGGATAAAATGGTCCTGAGTTCCTGTTGCATCTTTTCTCCCTCTAATGTTTCCAAGGACTCCATTCCCAGTACTTAGAACTTTCCAGACTCCCCTAACCAGGGTCAGACCCTTAACTGGTAATTCATTGCAAGGGATGCTATTAAATGGAGGCTAACTAGACGTTTATATTCAATCACTATCTTGCCTTTCTCTGATTCCCCCCAATAGCCATCACCCTTTGGGCAAGGTCTAGCCTTGTCCCTCAGCTTCCTTAGTCCTAGGGACAAGTCTCTATGAGCAAAGTTAAACAAAAGTCAACAAGAAATGGGTTGGGTATGTGTCTGGCTCTGACAAGATAAGACAGGAAAAATCCACCTTTGTTTGGCCTTTAACCCCCTACGCACTGTTGACACACTTAGGGATGTTCCCAGAGGCCTGTGAAAATCCAGCAGCACCCACCCCTCTTCCACTTCCTGTGGCATGGGGGCAGGTCACCTGGACCCTGGGGTGGGCAAGTACTTACACATGGGTGCTATATCTGGGAGCTGGCGGCCAGCTCCAGAACAGACCTCACATATGCTTCCTGGTTATACTATGAGTTGGGTTAGAGGACGATCAGGTAACAAAGGCTACCTAGAACATAAATCCTTTCCTTTGTTTTGTGTGCTCTTCATGCAGCCACCCACATGCCCCTCTTCTCAGAATGATGTTTCTGAGCCCCCAGCGTTCCTCATCCTCCTGAGAGCCCCATGGCAGTGCTCCTTGCCATTCTCTCCATTACAGAAAGCTCCTAGCCTTTCCACCTCCCAACACGGAGGGGAACATTTCACAGTCACAAGTTCTGTCCCCCACTATGCCGATCTGATCTCCTCCTTGGTTGACCTCCCCCATACTGCCACACTGTTCTCCCCAGGCCTGATATAGAAAACCACCCTGTCACCTAACACACTCAGTACCATAGGGTCACAGCACAGATTTCATCATCACTGTAATCATATTATTCTCACTCATCACTGTTTATTCAGAAAAGAATCCACCCAATCCTCTCATCTCTGGAAAGTTCTTTTTCCAGCCTCATTGAAATCAGGATCCCTGTCCACCCCCCTCCTCCCCCCCCCTGGAAAAATAAGAGAAGGGGTCCTGGGTCAACCCCAGGAGAGGAAGATTATATTCTTGAAGGGGTTTAGGCTAGAAAAAGGCACAGACAGAAAGGAGTCTACCAGGGGGCTGAGACCACAGCTCCCCCGGGAGTCAGAGGGCAGGAGATGGGAGGGGGTATCATAGAGTTTAAAGAAGGCTAGGGGCTTCACAGCAAGAAGATTCTTCTGAAGAGCTCAGGTCAGAAGGCTTAGCTCAACTGAGCCTAGTAGTTCAGGTCTGTAATTCAAGCTACTTGGAAGCCTAAAGCAAGAGTTTAAGACCTGCCGGCTCAAGGCAAGCCTGGTCACCTACATGAAACCTTGTCTCTAAATAAGAAGAGGGAGGAGAGCTCAGGATATAGCTCAGTGGTCGAGCACTTGCCTAATATGTGTGAAGTTCAGGGTTCAATCCCTAGGAACAAAACAAAACAAAACAAAACAAAAAAGAGGCTCAGTTCAAAGTCTAGTTCCAATGTCCTGTCTACACTGAACCAATGAGAATTTCTGTGTGACCCCAAGATACCGGGTGAGATGTTGTTTTAAAACATGGGGCCCAGTATCAAGATACAGACAGAAATTTTTCCTGGCCTCTGTAGACAGATATTCAGGAACCGGTGACCAAGAGAAGTTGGTCACTAAATCCACAGTCTCTTGATGAGTTAGTTATAAGGGATATACTGTTTTCTAGCTGTATCCTTATATGGGAGTAGATGTCAGTGAATACCTTGGTTTCCCTGAAGTAGGGAAAGAAATCAGAAAGAAGAAACAGTAAAAAGAAGAGTTTCCCGGAAGCTGTAGCTTAGAAAAGCTCGTCTTCCCAAGAGTCCCCGCAAAGAGGCAAGAGAAGAGGAAGGAAGGGTCCAAAGCAAATGTTACACAGCCACCAACATTCTCGGCAGCTCCTCTAGGCCTAGGCTCCTCCCCATCAAAATCTGACCCAAGGTCAGAGTTTGGGTTCAGGGAGCTGAAGGTTCAGAGGGCAGTTTATCTGCCTCCCTAAAGGCGAAGAGTCCTAGGAACAGTCGCTAAAGTGTGTGTGATGTGAGAAGGTAGGACACGAGTTAGAGGCAGCATGAGGTCAGGGGCAGAGATGCCACTTCCCTGGATACCACCCAGTTTTGCCCACCCAGCCAAGTCACAGTTCTGTGTCAGCCACCACATGTTGTCTTGCTGAATGGCCGTTTCTGGAGGTGGCCTGGCCGGTCCCGTTCTCCTGAGCCCCTCGGGTCACACTGGCCTTTCCCTGAGTCTCAGGAGAGGCCCCAGGTCCTGAGCTATAGCCCTGGCCTCCACCATTCTCCGTGTAATAAGGGTCTTCACCCTGGACAGTGTAGAAATAAAGTAGTATTATCTGGTAAGTAGGGTTCTGAGATACTGTGAGGAGAGCACAAAGGAAGTAGGAGGAGGGGGGCAGGTACAGCTACATGTGCAGGCTCTTTTCTTCCCAACAGCCATCAAGGTTCCAGCTCCTAGAGGAGAAAGGACAGAGGAGAGGCACCACACCATGTCAATATGGCTCGGCAACCAGCCCCATGAGAAACCAGTCTCAGGGACAGAAGAGCCTCCCCAGTAGACACCAGTCATTGGCAAGAGTCAGACTTCAGCCTTGTCCCTCCCTCTATCCAGAACACGTCAAGAGTAGATATTCCTTCCATATGTCACATGCTTGGGAGCAAACTGGCACCCACAGGGCACTGAATATGTTTACAAGTAAGCATATTCAAAAATAAGTCTCTTCTCTTTTACCCAGATGAACTAACTACCCAGGACAAAATGAGCAGATGACATAAATCATCAGCTGTGACAATGACTAGTGGGAGGGCTTTCTCCATTTTACCCTTCTCCCCATTTTCTGCATCTCATTCCTACTCTTTTGTAGATACAATGTCGTTCATGCATGCCTATCCTGATGTCAGAAATATCCTTTGTGGTATTTCTCCCTCTCCTTTTCATGGTATCTATGGGCCTCCCCAGAAGTTCATTAACTTCGTTATTTGCTTTTCCCCACACCCCAGAACTGACCAGCCTTTCTCCTGTGGGGCTCCAACTGCGACGATTCATCAGGAAATAGCCAGTGGTGCCCAAGATGGCCAGCAGGACTCCAGAGGTGACCAATGCAATCAGAGTCTTTCGGGAATAGCTCTGGTGGCTCCCAATATCTTGTTTATTGAAGCTTTGGATCCCCAGCTTAAGGGAGAAGCAGACAAATGGCAGCATGTCACTTGTGGAAAAGGAGTTCTAGTGAGAAGCCCAGAACACTCCATATCCCTGATGCGGACTGTTAGAGGGTGGGAAGAGGGTGCCTGAAGAGATAGCCACCTCCCTCCTCTCCTGGCCCAGTGCTCCCCCTGAGATGCATCATCTTGTGGAACATACCTTTCTCAAGTCAGACTGGTGCTTTTCCATAAGCTGGAGTTTGCTGGAAAGTTCTAGAATTAGAAACAGGGGTTGCTAAATCTAAAAGCTAGTCCAGCTCATCTTGAGCTATCCTCCCATCTTGTCCTAGAAGCTCCTTTATCCAGTGACGCTTTTCATCCAGACCTTTCTTCCCAGGACCTGTGGTTTCTGAAGGTGAGGTATAGTAGCTCCAACCAGGATCTTCTAACACGAACCCCATTTAAGCTCAGTCCTAGCCAACACCATGCCCCAAAGTGGCCCTTACCTGTGCTATTGGCCAAGACCATCAGCAAACACTCGGGCCTAACCTCAGACTGGGCTAGAAGCAAGGAGCAGACATTATCACTGGCTTCGGCCTCAGTCCCCTCCTTTCCACACAGTATCTGGGTTAGACCTTCTCCTTTTTCCTTCTTAAATTCATCCTGGAAGACAGAAAAAAAATAAAAGAAAAACCAAGAGATGAAATTACTAGTAATCTTGAACCTTATCCAGAGTCTCAGATAAGAATTCTGATTCAAACCAGGCAGTGGTGGTGCACACATTTAATCCCAGCACTTGGGAAGCAGAGGCAGGCACATCTCTGTGAGTTCCAGGCCAGCCTGAGCTACGGAGCGAATACCAGGACAGGCTCAGAAGCTTTGTAGAGAAACCCTTTCTCAAAAAACCAAAAAACAAACAAAAAAAAAGAATTGATTCAAGTCACACTATTATACCTTCCACAAGAAATCCTTTCTAGAATTCCAACTTAAAACAACAGTGCTAAATTATGTGCAAAAACATCGTAAGAAAGAAATAAGACATGTACATACAAGCAGGAAATATTTTCTTATTCAATAATTGCCTATATATGCGTGCTGCTCAGACTGAATTCAAAATCACCACCAACATAGCAATGCAATATTTAATACAAATTAATAACTAAGAAAAATCCTTTGCTTTAAGGTTACAATGGCTCTAAATGATAGAAAAAAAGCCAACAAATGAAAGGAGGAGAGAGAAAGCCTGTGAGTATTGACTACACAGGCACCTTGGAGCGTCTTCCCATGTCAGCAAGCCCTGATCACAACGACACAGTGTTTTCATTGAAGGCATTGAAGACAGTTTAACGAAGTTCCCAGGTCCTCCTTCAGGTTGCTGACTGGTCCACAAGACTCAGGAACTCAGAAGATAAACCTCCATCATTTTTAGCAGCTGAGTCTCAGGAACAGCACTGATTGGAGGCCCCGGCTCTGTCCTTCAGAATGGGCTTCCCCACTGCCCTGAGCTTACTATAGAGTCTCCCCTCCCACCACAGTGGCCTCTCTTAGACAACCCAAACCAAGACTCTTGTCCAGTTTTGATGGCAGATGTCAGAGGAGGAAATGCCTCATGGACACGGCAGCATTTCTGTTAGGGGAAAACTCCTGGAGCTTGTAACTATCATCAGACCTGAGCCTTCTGGAGAAGGTTCAATGTCTGGATGCAGGTCTGCTGCCCATGGTGTAGTACAGAGGTCTTCACAGTTGGAAAGGATCCTGGGTATTTTCCTTCTATTGAGATCTTAGGTAGGAAAACCTCCTTTGGGCCAACACCAGACAAAGTCAAGATTAGCCTTAGACCCTGGGGGATTTCAGACAGCAGTAGGAAAATAACTGGGCACAAGTGAGGCCAGCAAGGCATGGCTGGCCTTACAAGTCCTCCACTTGGGCAAAGCACCTCCCATGGTACCATGCTTCTCAGGTTAGAGGGAAGACTACACACAATGAGTCTGGACTCTTTGTGAGTCTTTAGTTAAAATGTTTGCTTCCTCAAAGAAGAGGAGGGACAGGTCTCCCACAGAATCTAAAGCAGCCAAACAAAATGGGACCTTCCCCCATTCTCCAGTGCTAAGAGGCTGCACTTTGATAATATTCAGCCATTCTAACATTTAGCAAGCCCTGATAGTAAAACACTGTCAGAAAATGTGTGTGTGTGTGTGTGTGTGTGTGTGTGTGTGTGTGTGTGTGTGTGTGTGTGGTGGCAGGGTGGCTGGAGAGATGGCTCAGAGGTTAAGAGCACTGGCTGCTCTTCCAGAGGTTCCAAGTCACATGGTGACTCACAACTACCTATAATGAGATCTGGTGACCTCTTCTGGCATGCAGGCATATATGCAGACAGAGCATTATATACATAATAAATAAATGTAAACAAAAGAAAGAAAAGTGTGTCTGTCTGTCTGTCTGTCTTTCTTTCTCTTATGTGGAAGGCAAGAGGAGTAGCTATGAATTAATTCCCCATGATCAAAACTCTTGTCTATATAAGTAGACATATGGCAGTTAAAATAAATGCCAGTTACTATGGCCAGTGCACTATCTTAGGTGCTTTTCCCATATTGGCTCATTTGGCTCTCCCAATACTCTAGAAAGTGAGTGCTGTAATTCTTTTATTCCTTTCATCTTATACAGAAACTGAGGCACAAAGACTATTTACCACAATAAAATTATAACAAAGCACTTAAGCTTGCAAAAGAGGGCAAAGACACATCTGGATTGTGTTATCAGAAATAACTCAATGTGCTCAGATAAAGTTGGCAGGGAAATGCATGGAAGCAAGTCTGTTGTGTGACTGTCTGCCCAGCCTAAGTACAGCTAGAAGAAGATGGAAAGACTCTACCTTCTCTGTTTTGCTCCACGTCCTACAAGATTCAACTCAAATTCCATGTCTTCTAGGAAGCCACTCCCATCTTAGACAAACTAGACATTAATTCCTGCTCTCCAATTTTCTAAATCTTTTTTAAGTCATCATAAAGTCTGTTCCGATTCCTCAGTTCTAAACTGGTTGTATGGTGACCACTGCAGTGATGTATAAAAATATTTAACACATAAGGATCTGATTGGTAAAAACAGCATCTATTACTATTCTTACTAATAATTACAGTTCTTGATATATCACCTAGAGATCCAAATTGTGATCATCTTCTTACTGTTGTCATTTCCCTCTGACTAAACTGTTAAGACTCCCAAGTGCCTATGTAGTGAGGGTGAGGGTGCATGTTATGTAATTTTGAAACCGGACTGCACTTATTGTGCCAAATAAACAAAACAACTCAAGGACATGTTCAGCCTAACATCCCAACTGGTTGGCCTCTACCTGGAGTCTCTCCACTGCATGGTTAGTTTCTTGGATTAAATTCAAGGCATTACAGTGTGACCCGCCTCCTACTCTGGATTTTACCAGCTTCAGTTAATTGTGTTTGGGCTGGAAAAAAGCAGGTGGATCCTGAACAAAACACAATGCTTCTCCGGATGTTCGGGATAAACATCCTCCCCCCAAGAGACAAACATCATGAGAGAGTAGGCAGGAAGAAACCACAGCCGCACCATTTTGTTCATGATAGTCACATTTAGGAGTTTCTAACTGCATCTGTGCACAGGAGTTCCTTTAAAAAATAGTGTCATCTAACCCTTCTAGAGGCGCATCCTCAAATTCTGTGACGCCTCTGAGTATGCTAAAGAAGCCTATCAATTACTGTGGCAGAGAGGAGGGTATGGGCACATTTCTAAAGGGTCTTTGAGATATTTCCCATTGCTAAGTTTCTAGGATCAATTGTCTCCCGTTGTTTATTTCTTTTTTCTTTCTTTCTTTTTTTTTTTTTTTTTTTTTTTGGTCAGTTTGACAGAAGTTGTAGGTTATTTGAAAAGAGGGGCCTTCAACTTAGAAAATGACTTCATAAGATCTATCTATCTGTAGGCAAATCTGTAGTGCATTTTCTTAACTAGTGATTGATATGGAGGGCCCAAGCCATTGTGGGTTGTACCATTCCTAGGTCGGTGGTGGCCCTAGATTGAGTAAGAAAGCAGGCTAAGCAAGCGAGGAGCAGGCAAGCCTGTAAGAAACACTCCTCCATGGTCTCTGTGATGATATTTTGCTATCACCACAAGTCTCTGTGTCAGTTCCTGCCTTAAGTTCCTGCCTTGACTTCCATCCCTTTTCTCCCCAAGTTGCTTTCGGTCATGGTGTTTATCATGGCAATAAGAAACCCTACCTAAGACACTCTGCAGCCACCGATTTCCAAGTAATTTTTTATATTCTTTGCTGTATTAAAACTGACAGTGGCAGGCAAAACCCATATCTTCATTAAAGAGAGTGGAATAATGAAGGACTGTTGTTACAAGTCAGATAACAAGTGAACAATAAACTAAGGGCAAGAAGTTAGATTGCCCCTTCCAATAGACAGTCTTCCTCCATTAGTCCTTCATCAATAACTGATGTTTTCTGCAAGGGAACTGACCTTTAAGTGTTTGGGTGGGAGGGCAAGGAAGACAGAGGCTACGTGTGATCAGAGGGTTGGAAATAGCTTACCTCAGAGGAAGCTGGTATAATGTGTAAGTAGGTAATGTGAGTGAACCGAGTAGATATAAACTTTGAAAAGGTAATAAAATTGCCCAAACAGTTTCATCTTCAAATTGTATGGATATAAATAGTACATATAAGGCATGGAACTGAATAGATAAAGTAGTTCCAAACACTGTATTTATAGCAAAGAACTTGAGCTGATATTTCTCCAGAGATACACAAATGACCAAAGAGTACATGAAAAGATTTTCAATATCACTGAGCACCAGGGAACTATAAACAAAACCACAATGAGATAATGAGACAATTATTCACATGCATTAGGATGGCTGTGTATTTAAAAACCAGAGAGTGGAAGGGAGCAGGTACTGACAAGGATGCGTAGGAACTGGAGCCCTGTATACTTTTGGCAGAAACGTTAAATGGTGCAGTCACTATAAAAAACAAAAAACAAAAACAGTGAGATGGACTGGAGTGTAGCTCAGCGATAGCTGCCTTAGCATGTGCAAAGGTCTGGATTCAGTCTCCAGGAATGCAAACAAAAGTTTGGTAGTTCCTCTAAAATTGAAAAGTAGAATGAAAAGTAGAATTACCACATGAGTTAACAATTCTACAGATAGGTATTTACCAAAGATTTTCTATTAGGGTGCCAAAAACATGTCCATATTAGTGTTCATAGCCATTTTATTCACAATAGCCAAAAGGTGGAAAAACTCAAGTATCTACAGTAGATGAGCGGGCAGCAGACTAACAGCATAGACCACAGGTAGAAAGAGCAGTTCTCTCTGGAATATCACTTGTCTTAAACAAGGACCCTGAGAACAGCAGGGTCCAGAGAACAGCAGACTAATATGAAAAGTGCTCTGTAGCTGAGCTGTCTCTAAAACCTGGGCACAATGAACTAGCATTCTAGCACAGACCTATGTGATGCTAAAATTAAATAAATACTGCATCAAAATGACAGGTAAAATTAAAAAGACGGGATGGTTTTATTTTTTATCTTTAAATGGTGAAGTTAAAAATTGGCACCAGACACACATTACCTATTGCTCGTACATTGTCTATTTACGTTAACCCTAAATGTTTTTGAAAACTTCATGGAGTTATTTCCTCCTGCAAACTTGTGTCTTTATGATTTCTGCCATTTTCAAGTTCTCTAAGTTAAATGGTCCTTTTAATATGCAGTTTTAAAAGATTTATAAGGCAGAGGTACCCGCCTGATAGCTATAAGTAAGAAACCAGTCATTTGAATAGCCAAAATAGGTAAGGCATGTCCTCTACAGCCTAAAGTCTGTCCAAACCATGCAGTCAGCTCAACTGTTACCTACAAGGTTCCCCTCACTGCATTCCCATAAGAAAACATTTTACTGTAAAAGAAAACAGCACTTTTTCCCTTCACCTCTATCCTTACTCCAGGGTCTTGTTACTACCAGGAAACAGGATTTATTGTAAACACAGGAAAATTCACACCATGCCATATACACTCTGACCATTGCAGTCTGACAAGAAAGTGAAATGAGAATCACTACTTCTAAAAAGAATGAGAAAAATAACACACCATAGCAGATAATTTGCTGTTCATGTAAAAAATGAAAAAGAACCAAGAATCTCCTAGAATTAGCAGATTCAAGAAAGACACAAATTTAAGGTAAATATTCAGACTCCAATAATTTTCTAACATCTAAACAGCCTTGGGTTCTATCCCATAGGGGGAAATATATGTTGTAGGGGGCGGTGGGGACCAATATGGAAACATTTTAAAATTAAAACAGGTGATGAATGATACAAAATAAGGCTAGGAAAAACTGAAGGACTTCAGCAAGTTCCTATTCAAATTTGTGTGATTTTTTTTTGGGGGGGTGGAAGATTCTTGACAGATGCCTCCAAGGATTTTCTAAAAAATAAAGTTGAAAAGCATGCTTTTATGGTATAATTAGGAAAGATCTGGCTTGCTTGTTATTAAAAGCACTGTAATGTAAAGGCACAACAAACTTAATTTGGACAAAAGCATAATAAAGTATCTCTGAACAAATAAAGTATTTCTGGAGTATATGACCAGGTCATATAAAAATGTAATATAAATACCAGAATAAGTTCAGTGTGTATTAAAGAATTACATATAAATAATAAAAATCATTTGAATTTTAGTTGGCTGGTTAATACCTGAACAATGACAAGGACTTTCTTAATATAAAACAATTTTAAATCTGACATCAAATAACAAAATTTATTTAAAGTTGTTTTTGCCTTTTATTCTCACCAGATGGGGCCTCTTATTGTCCAAATCCAAGGCTCAATATTGGAAATAGTCTGGCCCTGCCAAGCTCCCAGACAACTTACTCAAGTGAAGCCAATCCAAGATGGCTTCAGGTGTTCAAAAGGATTGGTGGGAGTGAGAGGGATAGGGTTGAGGCAGACTTACACAGCTAGATGCTTCACTTAGTTCCAGGCAGATGCCCTGGGCCAATCTCACTTCCCGAATTCCTGAACATTTGATTTCTCCCTATATGAAAACAAAAACAAAGTCAATATGCAAGTACCCGTGCCCCTCATTCCCCCCCCCCCACCTCTTTTATGGCAAGGTACTCTCTTAAAAAGTTTAGGAAAAAGGATATTTAAAAGTTCTCAGAGGGCTAGGGATTTACATTGTTTATTTAACTACTGTTTTTGTTTTTTGTTTTTTTGTTTTTTAAGACACAGACTTACTCTATAGCTCAGGCTAGACCAGAATTCACTATGTAGCTTTGTAACCTGGGCTGGTCTCAACTCATAATCGTCCTGCTTCAGCCTTTTGGTTGCTGTGATTTCAAACATGCCTGGTGAGATTTGCAGTAGAAATTGAGCACCCTTAATCTGAAAATTTCAGAATATAAAATGTTTGAAAATCTAAAACTTTCTAATCTTCAATATGATGCTGCAAGTGGGAAACACATACTACAAACTCTTGAAATTATTGAAAAGTGTGATATAAAATGACCTTTAAATTATGTGCATGGTATATATGAAGAGCAGATGAGCTCTATGTTTTGGCTTGGGTCTTATCCTCAAGATCTCTCGTTATATATTCTAAAATCAAAGTAAATGTGCCAAGATAAAAACCTGGACCCAAGATTTTCAGATTAAGGGCACTCAGTGTGTAGCTGCATTGTTTGCTCCCATCTCATTAAGGTCCCAGTGAGGGAATGAAGCCTTTTGTTACTATCCTGGACCATAAGCAAGATGCTATTTGACATTGTGACTGGCTTGGGTGATGCTTAAAAGGGAAAAGAGAAAATTATTCTGTTGTTGTTTTTTTCCTTCAGTCAGTTGCACACAGACAATGGGGTAGTCAGGCAGCTGTTGGTGACACCTGTTTTCCTCCTGGCCCCTAAGGAGTCTCCTCATTCATTTGCTACCTCTTTAAAAACAAACAAACAAACAACAACCAGGCCCTCGTGCCTGTCCTCAGGTCTTCATATTTCCTGCCCTTCATTCAGTCTGAAAGCTGTTGACTGCCACAGACTCAAGGCCAAGCAGGTCAGACAAAATTCACCATCCCTCATGTGTCCAGTTCTCACCTCTGCAGATGACATCCTCACTGTTGTTCTGTGATCCACTAAGCTCTCCCATATGTCAGGAACACTTTTCCCTACACATTTAAGAAAGGCCACCCAAGCACACAGGGGACAGATCCAAATACTCCCAAAAGGAAATGGTGTCTCTGAAGAACCACAGAACTAGAAGGATCTCTGAGAATCTCCCCAAAATGCAAAACCCAAAGCAAGGCCAGACTGCTCACCAGACTGAACTGTCTCCTCCTTATCTTCCTCCTGTCTAGTCTTTCTAGCAATACATAAATTACATATTCCATGTTCTTCCAAGATGACCCAAATCTCACTGACTGGTATGAGCACTGGGATAGAGAGTGAGGTATAATCTGCCATTTTGGGCCCAATTCACTCACCTTGATGGTAATTGGGGCAGTAGAAGATGAAGTGTATGCATATGAGTTAGTGGTTGGTGTCATCTCAGAACTGATATTAGCTGAGTAATCAGAAACATTTACAGATGTCACGTTGGGCTTCCACGTCATCTCTGAGGTGGGAGCATTGTCTGAAGTGGTGGGCACTGTGACGGTCGGGGATGTCTCAGGTTGCACAAAAGTTTGTGTGGTTCCAGAGCTTGAAGGAATCCCAGAGGTAGCAGTAAAGTTGACCGTTGTCTCTGGAATACACCAAAACGCAAATGTATGTATGCATCTGTAGAATACACTCAGAAACACAATTGCACTTGTGGTACTATCATGAATTTCTGCACAGAAAAGGATTCTAGTGAGGTCAGTTACTTCACATCTTAACCCTGGCCCAATTCATTTCCAGCTAGCTGTTGGAACCGTAGCCATAATATAAAACAACATTATAACATGTTGTCATCTACAAATACATTGGGCCTCCCTCATAGCTAACCTGAGATTCATGAGGCCCTCGGGTATCAGATTGGACATACATGATCTAGAATGTATCAAAGGTGCCCTCCAACTCTGAAAGTGAAAATGATTCTGTCCTACAGAAGTAAAAGACCTACAATTTGATCCCAGATCATCTTCCATCATTGAGAACAGAAACATCCATCCATGGAATCCAATCTGATCCTTTCTTTTACCAGCCGAATTTAGCATAAATACAAGAATCAGTCCTTTCAGGACCCACTGGTCATGTGTGGTCTACAAATGTTGCCAGCACAGAGAAAGCCACGTAGAACTTATTTCTGAGTAGCCTTGCATGAAGTATTGGTTTCTGTGACCCCATCTGTGGTGGGAGAGCAGGCTATACTAACTGAGTACTTCTGGTTACCTGAGATGGCTGGTGTGGTCTCATTGCTGTCCTGAGGGAAGAAGTAGGAGCTGGAGCTGGTACTTCCAGGAATGTTAGGTATGGTAGTTTTCTCAGTGGACTCATTTGTAGGAATTGATGGAGATATTCCTGGAGTAGTAGACTCCGTGGCAACAGAGGTCAAGTTGTTTAGATCTGTGGGCCCAAAGGTTACAGGGAAATAAGGAAAAGTCAGAACCTGACCTTGGAGCCTCATGACAACACCTGATTCAACTTCTTGACTTTAGGTAAATCTGCCTGGAACATTCCTGCTGCCCCTCACAATGAAGAAACATTAATAATAAACTCCTGGACATCAGACTAGTTTCCCTTACTAGGTTTTTCCCTAAGGAAATACACTAAGCATTTATAAAACATAGGAATGTTGCGAATAATTAAAAATTGCAACAACTCAGAAGGCAATGTTTGTAATGTATTTAGCAAAATACCAAGATATAAAATTTCACATATTTAAACATTACAAGGATTGAAAATATGAGAGAGGCTATGTTCCTAGCTCCCTTTGATTACACACTTCTCTATTTTGATCAATCTCTACCCAATATACTAATTATTGAAAATAATCTGGAGTCATACTTTCTCTATACAAATCCCCTTAAATTATTTTTTCATTCTGTCTTGCTTTTTCAAAGTTCAGGACTTTCAAATTCATTGTTTCTTTTGGATGAGGAATTCAACTACAGTGAGAAACCTGAAGACTTTTTTCAGGAGGTCACAAGCTGAACTCTTCTTAATGGGACTAGAGAACTAAGGCCTGGTTTCCCATCCTTTCTCATAGAAGGAAGAAGACACAGAGATTGGTCTGGCTTTGCTAGGACCATATATTTTCATGCATGTGTACTTCAGTTAATAATCCCTGAATATAGGTAGTTTGTCTATTTTTCCATGAAATGTCAGGAAAATCAAACTACTAAGGTAGAATGATTCTTGATCTATATATTCTCTGAATACCTTCATGAGTGCACTTGCCCCCATTATTCTATATATCCTTAAAACTCAGGAAGGAGAACCTTGACCTTGTATCTTATGGGTCCCAAGCCTGTTCTACCTCCTGTATGAGTCAACCAGGATGGCCTTCCCTTCTAGATGACACTTTGGAGACTATAATTCTTTATACAGCTTGCTCATATGGCTCTTTGCTCACATCCTGACCAATATTAATCTATGATGGCTCATCCTTCTAGAGGTGAACGGCAGCACTACACTGTGTTCCTCCAAGGTCCAGGAATGACTATTTGAAAGGAGAAGGGCTATCATATGTGTATATTAATGTCCTATGTGTACATGCAAGATCCTTCACACTATGGGCCTGTTGTTGATCAGGGAAAGAACATAGATCATGTGGTCAAGCAGCAAAGAACATGGGTCTTGCTGACTCTGGTAGCTGTTAAAGATCTGGCTACAGCCTCAAAGCCTTTGTAGGCAATAAGACATTCGTGCGTTCCTATGTAGTTTAGATATTGAAGTCATCTAAGCTACTTCCTTAAGACAGGACCCCACCAATTTGACTCTAAGACATGAATTCGTTACAGAGTGATAGCATTCGGATACTGAATTAAAGGAATCATACTTTCAATGTACCATCCTGAGATATCCTTTAAATTCCCTTCTGAAACCTTTCTTTCTGCCCACACCCTTTTTTTGCTCTACTCAAACACGTCAATTCCTGGGAATCCCATCTGGTCTAGGTTGGCCCAGCCCTTTCTTTCTCCAAAGGAAGCCGGGCCTGGCTGAAATGATGTCATGCTTTTGAACCCCTCCCCCAAGGGGCCTCCTTCACCCCAGACAAACATTTTTGAACTTTTCCAGATGTGAAGAGAGACCCGCTGCTGGTTCTGAAGATAGAGGTGCCTGCTCCAGAACAGCGAATCAACTCCAGATCCAAGTCATCTATGGACCCACTGGGGATGGGATCCAGGCTGTAGCAGTCTCATCCCCACCCCCTACCCTTTGGCCAGACTGAAAATGAAAAGAGGACCCAACCTCAGATGTGTAGCTCCAAACCTAGGATAGTCTGCAAAGCTCATGAGACTACAAAATGTGACAAAGAACAGGGGTAGAAGGCAAGGCTAAGTGGAGGGCTAACGTAAGAACTAGCGTAGGTCAGGAGCCACTCCGGGCCCACAGCACAGACCCTACTGTGAGTGCATCCTTGGGCCTCAGCAGAACTAGTTTTGCAGAACTAGTGGGTCACAAAGGAAGGCTTTACTAAGACTGGTTATGTGTCTCTTTGTCTACTACCTTAAGCCATCAAACCTGGCCTTCTTCCTCTGAACTTCTGGCTCCCATTCTAGAAAGGAATAAGGACAGCCTACACTCACTGAAGGCCTTTCAGATGCGGGAAAACTAAGGAAACCTTTCCTTCATTCCATAAGGATGTGAGGAAGAGTCCTTCTCTCACCCATCAGGAAAGATAGTATAACTCAGAACTACGAAAAACACGGCTCCTGAATGTATTCCTAGTCTGTCCTACGCCATCTCAAAGACTGTACTTGACAAGTTGTTCTAGTAGATATGTATCTATGTCTACCACATGTATGACCAAGGGGACCAGAAGAAAAAGGTTGGATGCCCTGGAACTTGTGTTACAGATGGTTGTAGGCTAGCAAGCGAGTGCAAGGAACCAAACCTGCATCCTCTGCAATATCAGCAAGTGCTCTCAACCACTGTGTCATCTTTCCAGCTTCTTTCTATCAATCTGTTCAGTAAACTTAGAGCAAGACAGGAAACAAGTTATTAAATGGGAAGCTAATAACTGAGAATCTTAAGACACCAACAGATGTAACATAATTTATGTAGTAAAATTCATTCACTGACCTTACGGGTACTTACTTAGAAGAAATTATTTTCAAGTACAGTATTAATAAGCCTGGTTACTTTGATATTCCAGTAAAAGTTGAAAATTAGAAACAAATAGGGAAAGGCAACAGCTGAAAACTAAGAAATTGAAATTTCTAAATTAAAAGCAGACCTACGTTATCAAACCCATACTGATCTGGAGTCATTTATAGTCACATTAAGCAGAAATAAATGCCTCGATATGTATTAATCACGCCACTGACTGCAACAAAGCCACCTTATTTTCATGATCCATTTGAGTCACAAAAGTTAAAGTCTTAGGGTAGGGGTATATGTAATACATCTACTTATCACTAGTAAACTGGAGATTCCGTTTTGTTAAAGGGTTACATATTCTAAGATATTCAGTAAGTTATTACCTAGATAGCCAAGTTTCCATACGTTCTTGGTCTAATTTTTTCAGATATCCTTAGCTTCAGTGTTTTGGGGGTGTGTTTTTTTTTAGATAGGGTGTCATATAGCCCAGGCTAAGTGACACTTTATGTAACTTGCTTTAGCTATGGGTGGTACACCACCACGCCAACTCGTGTTAGTTTTTTCCTAATGCCATTTTCTAATCACATCCTCAGCCAGCTCCTAGGTGTCCAGCCTTCCTGAATTTATCTCAGGTAAAGTCACACTCCTGGTGAGCCACTGGACCACCGATTTGAAGGCAGAACTACCCAGAGACAAAGAGGCCATGCCTTGCAGATAGGGGCTGTAGTGCCCCTTTCTCTCCTGTGCTCTGACTGTGTGGTTCCACAGCAACTTTCAAACTTCTCCAGTAAAATGGGATCAAAGTAGGCCCTGTCTCCTGGTTGTTTTCAAAAACAAAGAAGGTGAGGAAATACAAAGCAGCCAGACTGTCTGGTCCATGACTGTCATCATGGAAAGGCCCTTCCTTCTGCTTTTCCAGATCAGTTACTTATCTCTGTCACTCATCTGGCACAAAGTCACACAAGTTGCTTCCTCAGGAGAGGTTTAACTGTCACCTCACTTAAGTTATAAATTTCTTGAATGTCAAGCCTTTTTTTTTCATATGTGTGTTTTACTCAGGATGCTTGGCAGATCCTGGGGCGTTAGGATAAGCAACTGGGTTGAGCTGTACTGCTCACACTCACCACCTATAGCTTCCTCGTCTTATTCTGATGCTCTGTAGTTTATTATTATTGTGGGGGTGGTGGAGGGAGGGAGGTGTGAGGACAGGCAAGGATGCGCCACAGCACACACAGATGTCAGAGGACAACTTGCTGTCATTTCTCTTCTACCACTTGGGTTCTGGGGATCAACATGCATGGCGAGCGCTTTTGCCTACTGAACCATCTTACTGATCCTAATTCTCTGTATAAATTAGGGAGTGACTGCGCTAAAGGTATCCAGTTTCTCCATATAATGAGGAAAATTCTGCAATCCAAGTCACATTGCTAAAGATATGGTTTTATTTCATCCAAATCAGGAGTTGGCAAACTAGGACAGATTCTGCTTTGAGGTTGATAGAGTGTGGCCAGTCAGTCAGTCAAGAATGTCATCTACATTTTCAAGTGTCATAAAGTAAGATAAAGTGTCTGTCATATGCCTCAGAAGCCACATCCAGACCCTAAGCCTGAGATGCTTTCTGCTTTGCCCTTCACAGGAAAACTTTGTAAATAACCCTCTTGTAGACTAATTTCACTTTCATAGTACATGCATTTTCCCCTTAAGCACCAGGGGAAGGTAAAGGATCACTAAGTTCAAAGAAAACACAGAATAAGGGATGATTTGATTCTCTCCCACCCTTAAGGCCTTAGCATTGTTGTGATTTACACAAATCTCTCCAGGAGTGGGGCTGACTAGACAAGTCTTTAGGGATTTTCATGAAGACTGAATTCATCCTGGGACAATCCAAAGAACAGAAACAGGACAATGGTTACAAGTCAGAGAAAGGCTAATTTCACAGCAATACAGGAAACTAATTTACGGCAGATATTATTATTATTTTTAACGGGATGAACTCACGACGTAAATGAATATTCAGAAAAATCTTATTCAGGCCCCTTCATACCTGCCATGACCCTGAGTCTGAGCTGTTGTTGGGCTAGAACATAGGGCTTGCCAGAAGCTTTCCTCAGCTCAGAGGCAAGGCAGAGGCATCCTCAGGAACTGGCAGGAGCATCCTCACTACATTGAGATTTCCCCATTATAGTCAAATAGCTTGTCTTCATCCCTCCACGCCTCTGGACCTCCAAGGGGCCTACATTTCTCCCACTTGCCTTTCTTTCATTTTTCTGGTGCTACCCACTCCTGGATGCCAGCTCAGTGCCTTGCTCTGATAACTGATGTCACTTCTGCAGTTCAGTCAGCCTGAGTCCTTCTCAGGCAAACCTGGTATACCTGGGCAGCTTTTGCCAGAGGTTAGAAAGTATGGAATAAATTACAGAGCAGTGGAAGAGGCACAACCTTGAAATGTTAGTCAGTGCTGTGCTAATGTAGCTATTCTATAAGAAATCTCCTTTAAGTCCTCCAACTCTGCAGAAGCCTCCCCCTTTTGTGTTCACCTTGGGCTGTGGCGTCCTTCTGCCTTTTGTCTCTTAACCTACCACAAAACAAGACTACTTTCCACATAACCACTCTGCCTCCTGCCTGCCTTTGGACATTCAGAGTTTGTCTAGGGCTCTAAGATTCCTTACCCAAAGACCCGTTTACACATTTTCTTAAGCAATGGAGCAAACTACCTAGGGATACCACTTCTCTAAGAGGCTCACTTTTGTTTTCCACTCCAGGAAGTAGCAGACTTCCCTGTTAAGCCAGGAGGCCTTTTCCTTTGCATCATTAGGGAAATGATTCATTCCCTGCCTTTCCCAAGTGTAGGTCCAGGGAAGTGTACCTTGCCAGGCCTCCTAGTTTGTTTGGATCCCTACCCCACTCCACCCCAAGATGCATGTACCATTCTCCCTGTAGCACAACCAGGATCCTTGAGGGCAAATTTAAAGACATTATGTTTTTTTTTTACTTAGCCAACGTAAGAAGAAAATGTTATCATCAGAAACATCAAATCCCCTCTCAAAATATGTAGATTCTCCCCTGGCCACTGGGAACATTTCTTTTAGAGATGAATTTGTGTTGGTTTTTTTTTTTCCCATGCCTTCACATTTTTAGTTTGCCACATTACAGGACATTTAGTTAGGTGAGTCAAAGTCAATGAGAGAGGGAAGTCCAGGTACTGGAGCCTGGGGCTGGGAAGCCCTGATTGTAAGCCCAGGTCCTCAAACACAAAGCCAAAGAAAATCAGGCAAGTTCATAAGCAGTGGAGTCGGCTTCTCTTTTTTGTTTGCTTTTCTACGACTCCGTGGCCAACTTTATCTGCGGCAATTTGGCACTTCTTGCCTTGGACTTTGGGAGACAAAGACCACTCAGGAAAAGAAAGGGCAACTCAATGAACTGGCCCAAGGGGTGGGGCCAAAGGGATAAGAGAAAGAGGCCCAGGCCCTTGTCTGCTTATCAACCAGGCGGGAAAGCCCAAGATGAAGAAGTGTAATTGCAAAGGTTGTGAAGTGTGGTTTGGCCCTCCAAGGGGAGAGCACTCAGATCCCTGAATTTTACTCGGCAGCCCCTAAACTCTTTCTCTCCCTCACCATGTAGCAGGGAGTAAAGGGTGGAGGCCTTTCCCTTCTGGAAAATATCTGATAAAAGTCTTTCCCTCCTTTTACATGTAGCCCCAAGCCGGATATAGGTGTGGGGTCAGCAGATTCAAAGGACCCAAAGGAAGAAAAGAAATAAGAATGGGAGCTGAAGGTAGTGTTGGGGTAGGGGGTAAGACATGCCTTGAGAAAGGATACCCAGGTCAAAAGAGTCCTTAGATACCTGAAAGGCTTCCAGTTCATCTGGAGTATGAAAGTGTTGGCTGGTGGTCCCCAGCCACGACCCAGACTCTGGTCACTAATCTCTCTTGTCTCACTAGTGGTGGGCTAGTAGGCGTTTATACTAGCTTCTCACAGGGACAGAAGAGACCTATCTCTTCAGAATGAATTCCCATTCTACACCAAAATTTCCAGTAATAGCAGCACTGAATTTTTGCTGTTGTCTACTGGGGGCATTTTTAATTACATACAGTCTTTGGTTTAATTTATTCCACAATGTATCCCAGGACAGAAATAACAGTATTAACAAACAAAAGAATCTAACACAAACCCTATGAAGTTCTTGGAAAAAGTGCAAAGCCTTGGCTAACCCATGAAGTCTGGCTGGGTTGGGAATGGTGGCCCTTGCCCTGCCCTTTACCCCCAAGCTGAGACACTGATATTCTCAGTGTATTTGCCCAAGGTTTACAGAGGCTTTTATGCTCTTTACTCCCACCTCTTCAGCTCAAGACATTGTTGACCTGGGCCAGCTGAGGAAATAAGAAAAGGCAGCACTCCACCCCAGCCTGGATCACTGCTGAAGTAAGTAACCAAGAGAGCATCCAAGAACTCCATCCAGCCCATGGCCAGCCACCTGTGCTATGAAGGCATAGTATAGCATCATTCGGGGCATTTCAGTCTTCAGCAAGTTTTACCCCCATCTAAAAGGGCATGTCCAGGGCTGCCAATCATGTGATTCCAGAACCTAATTCAACTTCTCAGCCAGATCTCTTTGGGATGGACTCAAAGACAATAGCACAGGAGACTGGGAACAACAAGGTCTTGTGGGCAGATCCAGGTCACTCAGCAGAGCCGTGGTGAGTGGTCTTTAAGATGTACAATGGGGATTTAGGAGCCCCAAAGGGCTAGAAGCAAAATGAATAAAACCCAGCATTAAGAACCTCTAAGGGATGAAGAACAGCACCCTCCAATGCAATCCCAGTTTGCTATAAACTGGGTGAATACTGTCTTTTTGTCAACCAAAGGAGAGGAAGAGCTTAATAAGTAAGAGTATGTGTGGGCAGAAGGAGGTGTCTTGGCCTGCCCACTAGCTTTAGAATCTGAAGTTAAGCAGGGCAAGAAAATTCCAAAGAGTAATGAGTGTGGGTTTGTGCAGGGTGAAGACTGGTAAGCAGAAGGACTTGGTGTGTACACCAAACCACCTCCCACTAGCAACTGCATGGAGTCTGCAGGGGCGACGCTAGTTTAGCTTTCTAATCTTAAATTTAAAAAAATTTTCCTTCTTTTTCTCAGCTTGTTTTTTATTCCAAACTCCTCCACTAACATCCCTCAGTCTTCTTTAAGGGTCTCCTGGCCCTAATTGGGATGGTTACCCCCACACATTCTTTAAGTCCATGTCCTGGGAACAAAGGGTGGCTGGACCCTTCTTCCCTGGGGCCCATTGTGGGCCCTTCCTTTCTGAATCAAGGGCAGTTACAGAGCTTTTCCTTCCTTCCATCTGCGTTCCAACTTTGAGCTTTGCACCTCCAGCCAGGCAATGAGCAGCTAGCTGGCATCTCCCAGCTATCAGAGTAAGCTCACACCTAGCTCCAGGGACGGGTTCCCAGGTGAGGTTAAAAGCTAAGGGTCTTCCCTCCTCCCCACCCATAGCCTGACCCTCAGCGGTTAATACTCACGCAGCAGACTCATCAGGCAGAGAGCCACCCAGCCCCATGGCAGCTGGAGCCCCGCGTGCGCGTCCCTGTGGACCTGCATTCTCGCGCACCGCTCCGGAGATGCGTCGGTGCAGGAGGCGCCGGGCGCGGGACGCGCTCCTCCGCCCTGCGCAGGGGTGGGGGATACTGGCTCTCCTCCCCTGCTCCCTGTCCGGAGGGGGTGGGGGATGCCGGCTTATCCCCTCCCTGTTGTGTCTTGGCGGAGCCGGCCCCTCTCCTTGGCTGCTGCCAACGTGAGTTCCCGGTCAACCCAGAGGCCCAGGACCTAAGCAACGAGGTTGGGGCTGTAGACAGATGATTTGGAAAGCTGCCAAAGGCCAGCCGCTGACTAAGTGGGCAGATCTGGATAGTAGGTCTTCGAACTCCTCTACTTCACTTTTAACCCTGTGTCAACGAGACTGCGTCTGGGCAGGGTCAAGTTTCTCCTTTCTGTTTTCTTTATTTTCAAGTTTTAAATGTAGTAGGAGGCCACTGTGAGGCTGAGTTTACACAACTAAGGTTTTCAGTTAATCAGGAAATAACACAAATCCGAAGACGCCTTTAAGTGATAGTCACAGTAGAGTCTGTACTGTGTGTTAAAAGCGAGCAGGACAATAACAGTCACTTGACCCATAGCTCTTTTGCTGTCACTCTCATCTCTCGGTTTTACACTTATTTTTCCAGCAAAATCTACAGAATCTGTATTAATTTTGCTGTGACCATCCATATTTTCCCAGCTAGTCCGATCGTAGCAGTTACCAATACCACAAAGATAGCAGAGCTACTCCACAGCACCCAGGATGGCTTCTCTCCAAAGTCTCCTCTTCAACCCTGAATCTAAGTCTCTGGGAGCAAAGTATTCCTTGGATTCCCACCCCCCATCACCATCCCCCACCTAACAACACACCTTCTAGCACTCCTTGGCTTCCTGTTCCTCAGCAATGGTTCTGTATGTTGATGCATTGGGTTGCAGGATCCTAACTGGACAGGCAGACTAGTCACACAGATCGGGAAGATCAGGGCAGGAGAGAAGAGCCAGACCTGACAGATGACAGCACCAGGTAGAAGTTAAGATAAGGCACAGAAGGGTCTGTGATGATGACTGCAAATACTCACATACTCTCTGGTCACATAGCCTAAAGGGAGAAAGGAAGATAAGACAAGCACCCTGGAGTGCTTTTGTGTTTATTCCTCTAAAGGTCTTACCAGCAAGAGGAAAGTAGATCTGTTTTTGTTGTTCATCTCAGGCCTTATATACCTTGGATTGAGGAGAAGACTATCAGTCCTCAAACCCAGACTTTTACTCCCCGTTACTTTGTATACATTTAAACAGGGAGCAAAGGTTTTCATTAGATAAAGGCAGGTGCTGATTGAGTACAATGGAGTGAGATGAGTTTGTGTCAACTGGCAGTTGGTGTTTTGTATCTGACACATCATGACGGAGAACCTGCAAGCTGGGGACAGAAAGGACTGGGAAATATGCTTTCAAAATCAGACTCTGGTGCTTGGGATATGAACTAACAAGAAAATACCATATGTTCTCCACTAATTCCTCAGCTTTAAAAGTCAATTTGTTTAAGGTACCTATCATAAAATTATGAACAAAATGTAGTTGTCTGAAAATGAATTTGCCCACTTGAGTCTATCTTTACTTCCAAATGTCTTCTCTGGTTACTTAATTTATTTAATTGAGGTATTTTTGAGACAGGATCTTACTCTGTAGACCAAGCTGGTCTTGGATTCAAGCTTTCTGAATGCTGGAATTGCAGGTGTATACCATTGTTCCAGGCTCTCCTCTGGTTGCTTTAAATGTCTTTTGTCTTCTGGACCATGGGACATGGGACTATAGGGAACTTACCTTTTGTACTTAAACTTCTTGACTGATGCTGGAATCAGAGTGAGAGTGGGGAGTGAGAGAGATATTGATTCCATGCAAAAGTTTCTGAAAACAAAATTCATATAGAACCAGAAGCAAGACTGAGTGTCAAGAATCTCAACTTGCAATATGTGCTGTTGTCATTCTTACGTATGCTAAAGTTGGAGAGGTCCTGAATGAAAAAGAAGACAGGTATAAAGTGTAAGGACAAAGCAGTGTTCAGCAGCAGGGAAGGAAAGAGAATGTAGGCATCTAGGAGGTTGGAAATCCATTCCTTGGAGAAACCAAAGCTGTACTTCTCTGGTCTACTAGCTATAATGAGATCAGAATATAAAGCAGGATGGAGGACTGGCCTTCAGCATGCAGTCACTGTGACACATCACTCACAGCTCACTTTCTTCCCGCACGTGTACAAGTCCACTTATTGCCTCAATCTTCTGATGACTCACAGACCAGGTAGAATTGAGCAATCACATCTCTTCCCAGACTGTCCCGCAACATCCTGCTTTCATACTCTATCTCATAAGGGGATCCCAGAAGAAGACCTCAGCTATTATAGCTATACCACTCAAAGCAGAGGGTGCAAACGGAAAGCATCAAGAGTAGCCCCATGGGATCCTTTGTAAAGGTCATGGTCACACTTACTATTGAATGTCCTGTATTTTCCCATCCCTCCCAAAGTACACTTTATGCCAAGTTAAAATAGACTGTTAAATATTATACCTTTGGTGTAAAAGGCAGCATCTTAGTTATGTGTCTTTAACAAAACACCTGAGGCTAGATACTTTATGAAGAAATAGAGAATGTAGGAGGCCGGAAGATGAGCAAATAAAAGTTATTTTCTGTTATATTGGCAAGTTTGAGTTCAGACTGAGGTATACAAGATACTGTTTCAACAAAAACAAAGAGAATTTAAAAACAATAACAGAAACTTATTTTGCTTCATGGTTCTTGAGTGTTTGTAGTTTAAGAGTGTTGTATCTGCACACACTTGATGTCTACTGGGAACCTTTTTGTTGTATCATAGCATGGCAGAGAGTATCACATAGTGAGACAGAACAAGTGAGTGAAAGCTTGCTGAATTTGGATCCAGAGCACTCCCTTGGATAGCCCATTTATCCTTAAATAGATTCATTTACCCATCAGGCCAAAGCCCAAATGCCATTAAGATCTAAATTTGCAGATTAAGAAATGAAATTTAGAGGAAACATTTGAACAATAGAAGTTGATAATTTTAATAAATCTGAGTTTTAAAAAGTATTCACTATTTTGTATTTATAATCTAAGCCTTAACACATTTGTATAAAATTACTAAAGAATTGAATTGCAGCTTACATGTTAAGTTACCTTCTATGGATATTAATGAAGCATTTATTTCTATTTTTAGTTTCATACTTTGGAACCAAAGCTCCTCCCATCCCCTATGTTGCAAATACTGTTTTGGAAGTATTTAAAAAGCACTCAGGGACTATCCCTGTATGCACAGAAAGATCTTTAATAGTGGTAGTGTCAGGTACTGGAGGGAAGCAATGAGAATTTATATCTTAAAAATGAGTCCCTCTTTTATTCTTCTTGCCCTCCAGGACCTCCTTTAGACATAATCTGACTAGACATCTACTGACAGTGAAGTCTGGAACATCTAGCCTGCTGATTCTCCATCCCAGTGTCTTATGAGAAACTATCTTGATATGATTGCTGTCTCAATGACAGGCAGTCTCTTCTAAAGGACACAGACCAAGAACACTCAGACCACATTATTATGAGGCAGTCACAAGATTAATTAGGGCATAAAATGCCAGAACCAAGAGGCAAGAGTTGGGGAAGGTTAATCTACTTGGGGTAAGGTGCAAACACATGTACCATCTGGATCTTGTGTTTCCAACAAGGAGGCTGTAACCATAAGGACAAGAAGTGAGGTGGTAGAATAATGCAGAATGCACCTGGCCTGAGGCTCACTTACATAGCTCATCAGTCTTCTAGGCCGTCATCTCTTTTGTCGGAATTTCAGGGACAGAATAATGTCATTAATAAGTAAGCAATTTAGGAATAGCATGCTGTTGGCCCAGAGATGACATGATCAATACATTGGTTATGATTTGCTTTCTTATTTCTTACTACCTGTGAGGCACACTCTACTTGGTTTCATCATTTTTAATATATTTTATTTATTCTTAATTGCACATGTCATTCATTCAGGTTACTTTTATTATTTTTAGCACATGATCTGGACTGCGTTAGTGTCTTTCAAATTACTGTGGTCTATAGTTAATGTCTCTGATGTGTTCCATACATTCTGTTTGCTTTTCTTGTCCTCTGTAACAGAGCTGAATGTTCTACGTTGACAGAACAGGTGCACTACCAAGAGGAGGATGGAAGGGTGAAAATTGGGTTTAGAGGTGCAGCAGAAATAACTGACAGAAATCCAAATATTATTCATACAGATTACCCTGTTCCAAGCTTCATTTGCTATGTAGTCTGCTCTCTTCTGATCCCACCTGACCTGTCAGCCACCTGCCACATTCATGGGTTTGGCTCATCTGCCCTATGTAACACATGTGTCTTACACCGCCTGTGTCATAAACATATTTAATTCAGTTCTCATTAAGTCCCATTATTTTCAGCTAACCCACACCCCGTCTCCTTTATTTTCTTCAGACTTGCCCTACCTATTCTTGGATCATTTTTCTTCAGTGCATAATAATAATCTGATAAAAGATTATCAGATCTTTTCTCAAATTATTCTCTTACATTTTTTTCTTCCCCCTCCCCTTTCTTTCCCCCTCTTTTTTTTTCTTTGTTGTTGTTTGTTTTTGAGGCAAAGTTTTATTATGTTACCCAAGCAACCTTCAAATTTGAGATCCCACTGCCTCTGCCATCCCAGTACCAGGATTACAAACATAAACCACCACACTCAGCCCTTCTCCTTTGAATTATGACCAAAATTATTAATTCAGAGAGAACTGAGTTTGTCTGTCCAGTGGACAATGAACTTTGCTAAAGTTAATGATTTTCCTCTGCAGTGGTTCTAGTTTATGTTTCATCAGAGTTATTCACCATCAATTTGTGTCTCACTGTGTGTGAATGTAGCATGTTGGGATACCAGGCATTGCCTCTGCTCCATTCTCTGGTGTCTAGTAAACTTTGCAGAGGTCTTCCTGATCTAATTTAGCAATGTTCATGAGTGTTGCAAGACTATTGCAAACATAATCTTCTGTTTAATTTTTTTCTTGTTGTTAATGTATGAAAACACAATTTATTGTTTTTCATTAGTAATAGTTAATATTTTAATAATATAGTTACTTGTTTTTGAGTCATTTGTATCTTAGTTTTTCAGATATCTGACTCAGAAAGATGTTCAGATTCTTATATATTTTTAT